CAGGTTCTTTTTCTTTTAGATGAGGGGCTGTTAACCCAGAAACAATGATTTACATAGAAGGATAAAACCATGAGCAAGTTTTACGTCCTCCTTGACTCTCTCAAGACCCAGTGGGGAAGAAAAGGAAGGATTCTTAGTCCCACAGGGGAGTGGAAGTTTAAATCCTCATGATGCAGGGCCGGCCCGGTGCCATAGTGGTTAAGTTCTCACGCTCCGCTTCAGATCCTGGGCACGGACCTACACACCGCACATCAAGCCATGCTGTGGTGGCATCCCATATACAAAATAGAAGAATACTGGCACAGACGTTACCTCAGGAACAATCTTCCTCAAGCAAAAAGAGGAAGATTGGTAACAGATGTTAGCTCAGGGCCAATCTTCCTCACCAAAAAATTCTCACAATGCCTGACAGGGGCCCATGGGTGGGTGATTCCTACCTGAGAGCTGCAGAGCCCTTTCTTGTCTGGCCAGAGAAGGAATATAATTTCTATAAGCAGATCCCAGAAACCAGTATGTGTCATGTACACTCCTCACCTTCAGCTGTCCAGCTATCTGGGCCTCCTTCTTATAGGTCATTGGTGTAGTCATGACTCTTACCAGGTCTAAGGTGACAACACAAATAGTTCATACAAGATGACCAGGTGTTTAAGGAGTGGGTTGCCAACTCTAGCCATCCTACCACATCAAGGATAGCCAGACTCTCAGAGGAGGGGCACCCTAGTCAAATTAACTCGCTAATCCATTTAACACAGAGAGTTGAAGGCCAGTCACTCATTTGCCTTATCAAATACATCACTGGCTCCTAAAATCATACCACTTACTGCAGTCACGTTATATCAGCCAGTTTTATCTGGTCTAGGAAATGGTTTGGTGACCAAAGAAAGAAAGTAGGATTACAAAGTAGTTTTGGCTTGAATGGGCCAACGACCAAGATGGGGACTGCCCCAAGGTCCTCTTACGAAGATTCCCCCAATGGAGAATAAGTTCCATGGAGACCAGGGACCATGTCTGTTTCCTTCACGACTCACAGGCATACTGCAGCACCTAGCACATAGTAGATGCTCAATAAACACGTATGGAAAGAATAATTAATTAATTAAAGGTTCTTCACACTCCACCTCATGCTTCATAAATTTATATAACTCCATCAGGAACAGCTTCCCTTATCCTTCAGTCTGGTTCAAGATCTACTGTGAGCTCTCCTTCAGAACATTAGATACAATAGTAATTCATTATTTGTGTGATTGTTTAATGTCTGTCTTCCCCATAAGAATGCCTGTGTATCTCTGGCATCTAGAGCAGCACTTATACAATAAACACTCAACAAAAATTTGTTGAATGCAGGGGGTCAGCCCAGTGGTATAGTGGCTAAGTTCACGCGCTCTGCTTCAGCGGCCCAGGGATCGCAGGTTCGGATCCTGTGCACAGACATACACACCACTCATCAAGCCATGCTGTGGCAGGCATCCCACATATAAAATAGAGGAAGATGGGCACGGATGTTACCTCAGGGCCAATATTCCTGAGCAAAAAGAGGAGGATTGGCAGCAGATGCTAGTTGAGGGCTAATCTTCCTCACACACAAAAAAATTGTTGAATGTTTTAATAACTATGCTTTTTTTGTTACAATTAAACTTCATTAGAAGTTTCTGAGCTTCTTCTCGGAAGTAAACTTTCAATCCCAAAGCTGAAGAAAGTAAGAGGTAAGGGTCCTTCCCAGGTTCCTTTTACCACTGATGATAATGAGTCTCAGGGGAAGCACAGCTCCACCCAGCAAGAGAAGAATCAGAATCTCTAGATTGGTTAAGTTTGAGCTGTGTACGCTTGTGTATCTCTCAGTTTCCGTGGACACCAAACAGAACCCCAAGCTGACCAGGCCTGATGCCAGCTACACAGAGACAAGGAGTCTGCCGTGAATAGTTTACCCCGGAATCCTCTATGGGCACCAGGTCCCTGGAAGGGCAGGTACTGTTTACCAGAAGCCTCTTAAGCCCAACTAAAGATGAGTCATATGAATCTGCATCAATTGATGTCTGTCTCCGCCTTAGTATAGGAGGGATGGAAGAATAACTAATTAGGTTTCTACATCCATTTCCTCAGGAAACCGGTCCAGCAGTGACACTGTGGTGGAGCAGGAGAAATAGAGCTTCCTGAGAAACTGGTGAACCCAGGAATTCTGGGGAACATCCAGAGATAGCTCATTTCTGAGGAGATCTGGGGATGTGTCGGTGACAACAGAGTCAGGGAGCATTTCTGAAGGGAGACTGCTTGGTGGAAAACATGGTGGTTTGGTGATGCACACAGAAAAAGTCGACAAGGACCTGCGTATGTCCGTGACCTGCAGACCATGTTACAGCTCTGGAGATTCCTTCATTTTGAATCTCTGGTGAGTACCCCAAGAAGTGTAGTCTTCCAGCAACCTTGCAGAGCCAGGAGCTTCCTGTGAAAACCGGAGTCTCCATCATAACTGCCTTGAAGACAAGCGAGCACTTCACCTAGAAGCTAGTGAGGTAACTCGCATTGGTGCAATTTCTGGAATGGGGGAAGGAGAATCTGATTCCTCTGGAAACTCTGCCTAGAAGCCTGTCATCTGTTTTCATGTGTCCAGTGGCAGGCTATGGCACAGCTGACTTCTTTGATTTTATTCAACATTCCCAATGTTCTGACTCACGTCCAGCTGATGCATCACAGAATCTCTAAGGCTTTCTCTCACCATTTTCATGGACAGCCATTTGTTTTCCCTTTGTCTCTCCCGAAATGTGCTACCTAACTCTTAACCCAATGGGCTCACTGTGCTGGCTTCTTTTATGATTTCAAATTTAAGGTGTTGTATAAGCAATAATAAAAACAACAAAAAGAAGAAACAAAAATCACCTACAATCCTCCCATCCTTTTATGGCAATGATGTTCATTTTTTCATGTTTTCATCTAGTCCTTATCCATATGTTTTACACAGCGACATGTAGTGTGTTACTGTTTCTCTGATTTCAAACTTATCACGGTTCCTAGTTCCTGCTCCTGTCTAGATAGAGTCAGCTGTTTCCTACAGAAACTTGCCTTAATCTGTCATTTCTATAAAGAACAGCAAGTGACAAAATTGCCTAGTTCCATATCCAGATCTCTAAGGACAATATTAAGCAATGTAAATCTACAAATAACAATCATTTAAAACAAGGTATATTCTCTAAAAGTGAAATTGAACTAGGCCGGCCTGGTGGCACAGTGGTTAAGTTTGCACACTCCGCTTCAGTGGCCTGGGGTTTGCAGGTTCGGATCCCAGCAGGGACCAATGCACCACTGGTCAAGCCACAGCTTTTCAAGACATGCTATGGCGGCATCCCATATAAAGTAGAGGAAGATGGGCATGGATGTTAGCTCAGGACCTGACTTCCTCAGCAAAAAAGAGGAGGATTGGCAACAGAGGTTAGCTCAGGGCTAAGCTTCCTCACACACAAAAAAAAAAAAATGGAAATTGAAACAATGAACAATGCTGAATATCAGATTTATCATTATTTTTATTATTATTACAGAGGAGATTCTCTCAAAGTATTAAGCATGATACCTAATCTACAAATGCACGCTCTCTTCCCCCTCTATATATCAATTTCATAACACAAGCATTCCTCCAAAAATATCAGCCAAAAAATATATTAACAAAAAGTTTATAAATGCAAAATCACTTTATTACAGCAAGAATCTTTTGACAAGTGAAAAAAAGTTTGCATTAACATGACAAAAATTTGTTATAGTAACATGTGGGAAAATACATAACATGTGAACATGGCTATATAAACCAATCAACACTAAATAAGAATAGAAAAAATACAATAGAGATCAATTAAAATCTTAAGTTGTCTCTGTGCGGCTACAGGTGATTCTTTTTATTCCGTTTCTCTGTATTTCCTAAACTTTTCATGATGAGCTGATAATATTTTTAAACTTTTTCTTTAAATACACATTGCTCTAAATCCCAGTATCTTTTCTTCAATTTTGCTCCTACTTATTATATTCCTACTTGAGTTTCAGCCACAACAGAAGAAATAAAAATACCTAACATTATGTGACTGCTTGCTCTGTGGCCAGCCATGTGCTAAGTGTTGTATTATGCATTTAAGTTCTAGGAGAACTTTTTACATAGTTACTGTTATTATTCCCAAAGAGAAAGCAGAGTTTTGGTGAAGTTTAGAGAACCAGCCCCAGAAAAGTTAGCAAATGTTGGAGCTCAGGTGCAACCACAGTCTCTGTAATTTAAATGCCTTCTGTAACAAGCTCAAGAGTAAATATTCCATCAATGCTTTCAATAAAAGCATTGATCCATTGGATACAGGATTTGCAGAGGGAAATTTTGGGTTTTTTTTTTTTTTTGCTGACGAAGATTAGTCCTGAGCTAACATCCATCGCCAATCCTACTCTTTTTGCTGAGGAATTGGGCCCTGGGCTAACATCTGTGCCCATCTTTCTCCACTTTACATGTGGGACGCCTGCCACAGCATGGCTTGATAGGCGGTGCGTAGGTCCATGCCTGGGATCTGAACCCGTGAACCCTGGGTCAGAGAAGCAGAGCACACAAACTTAACCACTACGCCACCAGGCCAGCCCCAACACGGGGAGATATTTTAATGGACTTCGGAGACCCCTTACAACATTTGGACAAATATGGGAAAAGATGTCATGTGATCTAACGGAAAAGAATGAAAGGGATTTAATACAGTTTCCTAACAGAAACAAAGAGATGTGGAAAAAGATTTGGTAAAGGCAAAACATTTCCCAAAGAATCCCAGAATATTGACTTAAACTGGGTCAAATTATGTGACCTGATGCTAACTCAGTAAGGGATCTGGACAACCAGACTGAAGAGGGAAAGAAAGGGACTAGTAGGTCAAAGAAAAAAAAGAATTCCTTCAGCTCAAAATGCCACATTCACTCATCTTTCTTTCAGTTCCAAGTGTCCTCAGATCCCCAGAACATCATGACTCCTGATGCTGTACACCTCTGATTGGCCGTCCCCAGCACAGGTCAGAGGAGCCATGGGGAACCACACCACTGTCACCGAGTTTGTCCTGCTGGGGCTCTCAGATGCCTGTGAGCTGCAAATGCTCATCTTCCTGGGGCTCCTCCTCACCTACCTCCTCACTCTGCTGGGGAATCTCCTCATCGTGATCATCACCCTCATGGACAGGCGCCTCCACACCCCCATGTACTACTTCCTCCGCAACTTTGCTGTCCTGGAGATCTGGTTCACCTCGGTCATCTTCCCCAAGATGCTGACCAACATCCTGACGGGACACAAGACCATCTCCCTAGCAGGTTGCTTCCTCCAGTTTTTCCTCTATTTTTTACTGGGCACCACAGAGTTCCTCCTCCTGGCAGTGATGTCCTTTGACAGGTATGTGGCCATATGTAAACCCTTGCATTATGCCACCATCATGAGCAAAAGGGTCTGTGTCCAGCTAGTTCTTTCTTCATGGATGACAGGATTCCTTCTCATCATCGTTCCAAGTCTCATCACATTTCAGCAGCCGTTCTGTGGCCCCAATGTCATTAATCATTTCTTCTGTGACAACTTTCCACTCCTGGAACTCATATGTGCAGACACAAGTCTGATAGAGCTGCTGGATTTTATTGAGGCCAATTTCAGCTTACTAGGCACTCTGTTGGTGACAGCCACCTGCTACAGCCACATCCTCCACACCATTCTGTGCATCCCTTCAGCCAAGGAGAGGCAGAAAGCCTTCTCAACCTGTTCCTCTCACATCATTGTTATTTCTATCTTCTATGGCAGCTGCATTTTTATGTATTTCCGGTCAGGCAAAGGTGACCAGCGGGAGGACAGGAACAAACTGGTGGCCTTGCTCAGCACCATGGCAACCCCGATGCTCAACCCCTTCATCTACACCCTGAGGAACAAACAGGTGAAGCAGGTGTTTAGGGAGCAAATGAGCAAGCTCCTCTCGTAACGATGAGCTAGCCCTGAGAGAGGGGGAAAGTTGCCTTCTTGCCTGAACCTCTGCAAACGCAGCTCCTGTCCTGATATCCATGAAATATCCAGTCCTAGAGTGTTTTAGCTTGTGCTCTAACCTACAGTGGTTTCTTACGTGTATCATTATTGGCTCATGAAGTCTTGTCAGAGAATGCAGAAAACTCAGTAGACCTCTACTATGACTGGTATGTCTTAATGTTTCTGACCCTAGCCTATATCTGAGTTCCTTAATCTTGACTCATTTTTAAGTTATAATAATAAATTTAGCATACCTTCTTCACTGGAACCTTTCAAAATTTATAAAAATATCCTCAACAAGAATATGTTTATGGTAGACTTTAGAAATATTATATGTATAAAAAATTAATCAGGCAGACTCGCCAAGACACGTTAAACAAAAAATAAAAAGTATCAGATATTAAAACATTAAGTCGAGGGGCCGGTGCAGTGGCACAAGCGGTTAAGTGTGCGTGCTCCGCTGTGGCGGCCCAGGGTTCGCGGGTTCAGATCCCGGCGCGCTCCAACACACCGTTTGTCAAGCCATGCTGTGGCATCGTCCCATATAAAGTGGAGGAAGATGGGACCAGATGTTAGCACAGGGCCAGTCTTCCTCAAAAAAAAAAAAATTTAAGTCAAGAACTAATAAATAGAACAAAGGAACTGGGTGGATAGTCTGGGAAGATAATGCAGTACAGATAAGAATCTAATAGATGATTAAAGTAGACTTTCTAATCAGTAAAAAAAGAAAGTCAATTCAATACATGATGCCAATACTATCGACTAACTAACATAGAAGCCTGCCTGTCAAAGAGATTGGGACTAACACTTGGTTGGTTATTGGGGACCAGGAGGTTGTTAAAGCAGAAGATCAATTTAAAAGTGATACACGCATTAAATATTTATTTGAAATTAAAACCTATAAACAAATACGTATTCACTAATCTGTAAACATCTTTTTCTTTGAAAATGAACGTGATGATTGTTGTAGTCCTTCTTGTTTAAGCCACATTCATAACATAGCCTCTATAATTTCCAGGATTTGTTTCAGTAGTACAAAAATTTTAAAGATGCTTGAGAAACTGTCAGCAGAATTCTAGAATTTTCACTTGTTTGTTTGTTTGCCAATCTTCACAGTTCTTGCCCACACCTAATTCAACAAAATTTTTTCATTATCTGGCTTTATGGAATCTATTGAAAGGAATCAAATTAATTTTCACAGAAACAGCTTTGTTTTTACACTCATATTTCATTGGTTTATAATTATTTACTTAAAATATGTAATTACAATAACAAGTCCAATTATCAAATCGAGGTTTGGAAACTAACCATTGATTCTTGGTACAACCTAACTGGTGGGAACGAAACTCTGTAGGCTTGCTACAGAATCCTGCTAGCTACAAAACCAGTAGCTATAAGGCATGCTGTGGACATCAATAATTTTGAGAAGCAATATAACACAGAGATTGAAAACAGCTACTGGAAGCCTACTACCTAGATTCAGATCCCAGCTACCTATTAGCTATTTGATCCTGAGCAAGGAATACTTGTTTGTATTTCGGTCATATATATGAAGATAATAATAGTAGCTACCTCATAGAATTCTTTACACATTAATGCATTAATATGTGTTAGAATACTCAGTATAGGGCTTGGAATAGGGTAAGTATCATATTCAGTGCCAGGTATTATATTTTACTGAAGGAATAAGTTGAATAAATGAAGGTAAATTAAGAGATGTTAGATCTCTTGGAGAAAAAGTTGTTAGATCCTCACCTCATATCTTAAACTGAAGTAAATTCAGAATGAATTAAATAGATTAATATAAACCATGGAAACATAAAAAAGAAAATTTAGGTAAAAATTATCTTATTAAAGATTTTTAAATGGAGGAAACGTACAAATAAATCTATAAATTTAGCTATGTAAAATTTTCAGCCTTCTTTATGTCAGGAAAAAAAACATAAATTATGTAATTGCCATATGTACCTTCTGCTTGCCTGGCATCCATTCCCCATTCTTAAAGTAATAGAACCTTGATTTTTCTCAGGAAAGTCCCTTCCCATTCTCAGTTCATGTAGCTAGGATGGTGATGACTTCATCCCCAACCAACCAGAACATGGCCATGGTTATTGGCTCAGGGATGGTCCACATGACTAAAATCAGGGCAGTGAGACCAAATGAGTTTCAATTCAGAGATATTTATGGGAACTGATGGAAGGGAGACTCTTTCTCTCTGCTGGACTTGAAGCTGGGAGAAGGTAGGAAAAAAAAATAAGACACAAATTACCAATACCAGGAATGAAAGAGTGGACACTGCTATGGATTCTATAGGCACTAAACGGTAATAAGGGAGCATCATGAACAACTCTATGTCAGTATATTTGACAACTTAGATGAAATGGATAAATTTCTTGAAAGACACAAACTACCAAAGCTCACCCAAAATAAAATAGATAACTTCAATAGCCCCATATCTTTTAAAGAAATTTCTTTTGCAGTTAAAAACTTCCAAAAAGGAAAACTATAGGCCCAGATGGCTTCACTGGTTAATTCTACTAATTATTTAAGGAAGAGATAAGACCAGTGCTACACCAACTCTCTCAGAAAACAGAAGAGGAAGAAACATCTCCCAAATGAACATATGAGGCCAGCATTACCCTGATACCAACATCAGATAAAGATATTACAAAAAAAGAAAATTAAAAATATCCCTTGGGAACATAGATGAAAAACTTCTTAACAAAATTTAGCAAATTATTTCCAATTATACAGCAAAAAGATCATGACCAAATGGAGGTTATCCCACACATACAAGATTGATTCAACATCCAAAAATCAATCACATGTAATTCACCATATTAACAGAATAAAGTACTAAAGCCGTCTGATCATCTCAATATGTGCAGGAAAAGCATTTGACAAGATTCAATATCCTTTCATGATTTAAAAAAAAAAAAAACTAGGCCCAACCCTCTGGCCAGGTAGTTCAAGTCCGTGCACTCCTCTTCAGCAGCTCAGGTTCGCAGGTTCAGATCCTGGGCGTGGACCTATTCCACTCACCAGCCATGCTGTGGTGGTGTCCCATATATAAAGTAGTGAAAGATTGGCACAGATGTTATCTCAGGGCTAATCTTCCTCAGGAACAAAAAAACTCTTAGCAAACTAGGATACAAGAGAATTTCCTCAAGCTGATAAAAAGTACTTATGAAAAACATACAGTACGCATCATACTAAATGGTGAAAGACTGAATACTTTCCCCATGAGATTAGCAACAAGGCTTTTACAGCTTCTATTCAACACTGTACTGAAGGATTGTAGCCAATGCAATAGGTAAGAAGAAGGAATAAAAGGCATGCAGTTTTTATCATGAAATGATGTTAAATTTGGTGTATTACATGTATTGATTTGTGGATGTTGAACTATCCTTGCATCCCTAGAATAAATCCCACTTGATCCCGGTGTATGATCCTTTTAATGTGATGTTGAATTCAGTTAGCTAATATTTTATTCATAATTTTTGTCTATGTTCATCAAGGATATTGGTCTGTAATTTTCATTTCTTGTGGTGTCCTTTTCTGGCTTTGGTATCAGGGTCTTTCTGGCCTCATAAAATGAGTTTGGAAGTGTTCCTGCCCCTTCTCTTTTTTGGAAGCGTTTGAGAAAGATTAATATTCATTCTTTTTTAACAGTTTGGTAGAATTCACAGTGAAGCCAACTAGTCCTGGGCTTTTCTTTGTTGGGAGGTTTTTGATTACTGATTCAATGACCTTACTAGTAATTGGTCTGTGCAGCTGGGTATAGAAGGAATGTACCTAAACATAATAAAGGCCATATATGACAAGCCCACAACTAACATTATATTCAACAGTGAAAAATTGAAATCTTTTCCTCTAAGATCAGGAAGAAGACAAGGATGCCCACTGTCACCACTTTTATTCAACATAGTACTGGAAGTCCTTTCTCTTGCCAGAGAAATTAGGCAAGAAAAAGAAATAAAAGGCATCCAAATATGAAAGGAAGAAGTAAAATTGTCTCTATTTGCAGAAGACATATATATAGTAAATAATAAAGACTCTGCCAAAAACTGTTAGAACTAAGAAATGAATTTATTAAAGTTGCAGGATGAAAAATCAACATACAAAAATCAGTTGAATTTCTATACACTAACAATGAACTATCAGAAAGAGAAATTAAGAAAACAATGCCATTTACAATAGCATCAAAAATGCTATATGCCTAAATGAAATATTAGGGATAAATTTAACCAAGGAGGTGAAAGACCTGTACACTGAAAAAAATAAGACATTGATGAAAGAAATGGAAGACACAAATAAATGGAAAGAAATTCTGCGCTCTTGGATTAGAAGAACCAGTATTGTTAAAATGTCCGTACTATCCAAAGCAATATACAGATTCAATGCAATCTCTACCAAAATTCCAATGACAATTTTCATGGAAATAGAAAAAACAATCCACGATTTGTATGGAACCACAAAAGGCCCCAAATAGCCAAAGCAATCTTGAGAAAGAAGAACAAAGCTGGAGGCATCACATTTCCAGATTTCAAATTATATTACAAAGCTATTGTAATCAACAGTATGACATCAGCATAAAGACAGACACATGGATCAACAGAACAGAACAGAATAGAGACCAGAAATAAACTCATGTGTATATGGTCAATTAGTTTTCAACAGTGGGCCCAAGAATGTACAATGGAGGAAAGGATAGTCTCTTCAATAAATGGTGTTGGGAAAACTGGACAGTCATATGCAAAAGAATGAAAATGGACCACTATCTTACACGAATCACAAAAAGACAACTCAAAATGGGTTAAGGACTTGAGCATTAGACCTAAAACTGTAAAGCTCCTAGAACAAAACAACAGGGAGTAAGCTCCTTGACATTGGTCTTGGCAATGATTTTTTGGATATGACACCAAAAGCAAAGGCAACAAAAATAAACGAGTGGGACTGCATCAAACTAAAAACGTTCTGCATATGAAAGAAAACAATTGACAAAATGAAAAGGCAACCTATGGAATGGGAGAAAATGTTTGCAAACCACATATTTGATAAGGGGTCAATATCCAATATATACAAAGAACTTATACAACTTAATAGCAAAAAAACAAACAACCCAAATAAAACATAGGCAAAGGACCTGAATAGACATTTTTCCAAAGCAGACATACAAATGGCCAACAGGCACATGGAAAGGTGCTCAACATCATCAGTCATCAGGGAAATGCAAATCAAAATCACAATGAGAAATGACCTCACACCTATTAGGATGGCTATTATAAAAAAGACAAGAGAGAAAAAAATTCTGGGAAGGATGTGGAGAAAAGCAAACCCTGTGCACTATTGCTTGGAATGTAAACTGGTACAGTTACTAGGAAAAACAGCATAGAGTTTCCTCAAGAAATTAAAAGTGGAACTACCACATGACCCAGCAATCCCACTTCTAGGTATATCTGAAGGAAACAAAATGACTATCTCAAAGAGGTATTTGCAATCCCATATTTATTGCAGCATTACGCAGAATAGCAAAGATATGGAAACAACTTGTGTCCATTGACAGATGAATGGATAAAGAAAATGTGTTACATAAAGAATGGAATATTATTCAGCCTTCAAAAGGAAGGAATTCCCGCCATTTGCAAAACATGGATGAACCTAGAAGGCATTGTGCTAAGTGAAATAAGCCAGACAGAGAAAGACAAATACTGTAAGGTATCACTTCTATGTGGAATCCAAACAAACAGAAAAAAGTTGAACTGATAGAAAGAGAGAGTAGAATGGTGGTTGCCAAGGGCTGAGGGGTGGAGAAAATGGGGGAGATGTTGAACAAAGGATACAAACTTCTGGCTATAAGATGAATAAGTTCTGAGGACCTAAAGTACAGCATGGTGTTTGTAGTTAATAATAATGTATTGTATCTGTGAAATTTGCTAAGCAAGTAGATCTTAAGCACTCTCACTACACAGACACACAAAATGGTAACTATGTGAGGTGATGGATGTGTTAACTTCATTGTAGTAATCATTTCACAATGTATAATTATATCAAATCATCACATTGATGATTTTTCAAATCATCTTTAAATATATACCATTTTATTTGTCAATTTTATCTCAATAAAGCTGGGAAAAAAATTAATCCCAACTTTTTCCTTTCCTTCCCTTTTGTCCCTTCCCCCAGGACCCCATCTTCTACCATTGCCCAGCCCCTGTGAGGGTCAGAATAGGATTAGCCAAGGTTCCATATTGCTTCTCATGTTTCATTACATCCCTGTAACAGGACTGCCTAATATTAGACAAGAGATCCAATTTAAGAGGCATAATTAGATTTGTTACCTTAACTAAAAGTAACTTATTCTTGATCTCAATAAACAACAGAAACTTTTGTTCACATAGTTGTAGTAAGTTAACAGCCAAGAGAGTTGGGAAGAGGCTGAGTGAGGCTCATTATACTAATTCTCTGGGGATCCCAAACCCCATCAAACTTGGAAGACCAGTAGATCCCTTAGGAAAACAAATAATCTGCAACCCAAGTCTTTCAGCCCTCATGTCACCTCCACAAAGAGATGTGCTTATTCCAGGAGTAGTTCACCCACTGTCTCTTAGAGCCACACTGTCCACAGAAGAAATATCACCTCACAGAGACTGGGCCAATGTAAGGATGTAATATAAGTATTTATCAGTCAAAATCAACTCATTTAGGCAAGAGGAGGATGAAGGAGGATTGCACCAAATGACAACTGTACTCTTCCAAGGCTTTCTCCAGGATGAGCTTGCTGAAAACGGAAGATTTTGAAACATTCTGGACTTATCAGATCCTGTGAGCTAAATGATGACAAAGTCCAAGGAAATCATTCTCTTACCCAAGGAACGCCACTGACCAATCAGGGAGCTTTGGAAAAGGATAAGTGTTTTTAGAGAATGCCATCAAATTCATGACAGATAGAGATCTCACACCCATAGTATAAGATCTGCATTTACATCCCATAGACAATATTGCAACCTCAAGAAATAGCCATGAGAGCCAGGTAGCATCTGCAATCCTGTGAGTAGTGTATTTGGAATGGTCTGATTGGGACTTCCCCAGAGGGCTGCTAGACACCTGGCCCTGGACCTGTGGGGTAATCTCCACCTGGCACTACCCAGGATGGCAGAGCAGCAGTGGCTTCCTCAAACCCTACTCTTCCTGACACTTGTTTTTTATATTCCTTTATAAGATGTGGCATGTCAAGCACAGGCACTGACTCTCATCGGTAACTTTAGCCCCACCATCCAGGTCCATTCTAGGCAAGTCAATGGTTATCCAGTCAGAGCCATTATGTTACTCACTTGCATCGAGGAACGTTGCCTGTCCCACTTTGTGCTCTGTATAACCGTCCCCTTGGAAAACCCAAAGTTCTGAACAACATCGAGTCTGAGTGAAACTCTAAATGCTTTTCCTTATAAGTAGAAGACTTCCCCTTCCTTCTAAGTGTACTAGAACTATCCAGAAGACCATGCACTTCTAGCCATGGAAAGACAAACCGTCAGGATACCAAGGAGACTTTCTCACAAAGTCTTTTCAGTTTCTCTGTGCTAAGTTGATGATTCAGTATGAACCCAGAGCTTTCTCCTCCCCTCCCACTCACATAAATCTCTACCTCATCTTAGTCTCTATTCCCATATTTCTCCCAGTGTGTCCCATCCAGGACTTCGCCTAAATAATACACATTCTATTAGCTCCTGATGATGTTTCTGGGTGTCACATTCATGCTGGATTCTGCTTCTGTTCTGGAAAGAGCTGGGTAAGTTCCAGGGCCACCTGGGCTCAATTTGAACCAAATGATTAGGCTGTAGAGACTTCCTTTTCAAAATACTGATGAATCTAGACAACATTGAGCCTAGAAATAACCTGTGGGGAATAGCTCTAGTTACATCCTCAGAGGCTAATAGATTATTTTGTGTTCTCTAATAACTGTCAACAAATGTTAGATATAATAGCAGTTTGTGGAATGACTTTGAATAGAGTAGCTTGTGCTCAAAAGAAGGCAAACCATAAAAAAAGGAAAATTTATACAGTTCACTATTTCATCCTCCCTGATACCCCTCAGCATCTCCTTCATCTCAAGTAACTACACAGGGTCCCATTCTTATTCTCTAGCGACTGGCAAATAATTCTTGCTATAGCTCTGTCTGATAATTAAGGTAGTAGTTGACAACACTTAAGGAAGGAAACTTCCAGGGATGCTGATTTTTTTTTTGGTGAGGAAGACTATCCCTGAGCTAACACCCGCTGCCAATCTTCCTCCTTTTGCTGAGGAAGATTGACCCTGAGCTAACTTCTGTGCCCATGTTCCTCTATTTTATGTATGGAATGCCTGTCACAGGATGGCTTGATGAGGGGTACATAATTCTGCCCTCAGGATCTGAAGCCGCGAACCCAGGGCTGCCGAAACAGAGAGAGCAAACTTAACCACTACCACACTGGGCCGTCCCCCAGGGATACTGATTTCTAAAGAGAGATCTTTTTAAGAGTTTTGGGTTTTTTGCTGCTGGGAGCACTCTAGCATACCTAACCAGATCTGTCTATTTACTAGCTCAAACTCTAGACCGTCTCGAAGATGGAGAGTCTCCCTTTGGAGAATGTTTGTGGGAAGCCATCTCCACCTTCTCACGAGGAAAAGCAAACTCTCTTCAGATGGACCAACTTAAGGCTACTTGGCATATGACTCTGCAAGGTTGCTGTCCCCTAGGAAATACTACATTAAGTGACATGTACTCAACCTTTTGTGTGTCAAACACCACCAAATCCATGTCTCAGACATTTGAGGTATTATTCACTCATGCAATAAATGTTTATTAGAGCTGAGTATTTTTAAAAAACTTGTTCCAAGAGTTATTGAAAATACAAAGAGTAATAAAGAAATTTTTGACTCAATGAGCAACAAATGAAAAACTATAAAATATAATAAAAATTAAATGAAATATAATAAAATGAAAAGGGATATAATATAAATAAAT